CATTTCCACACACCACATAGTTTTTGCTCTCCCCTCTCTCTAAAACCTCTCTCTAGAATCCCTCTGACGCATTTCCGGAGTTTCTGAGTGCCTTTGTGAGCATTTTTCGGCGTCTAGAAAAGTTTCCAGCGCTGTGTAGAGTGAAAGGCTGCCACAAAGCACCCTCTTTTTTTTAAAAGAAATAAATAGAAAGCTTGCTTCAAAGGTTTCTACTCTCCCTCTCCACTTTTACTGCTTTAATTTTAAATTATGCAATAGATTAGGGCCATGTAGTCATAGTTTTAAATTCCGCAAGATAAAAGGGCAAAAGCGTGTTTTTCTGGTTTATTTATTAACAAAATAGCTGGCCTGTCATAGGAAACCCGAAAGGGGCGTCGTAAAGGAACTAACACTTCATTTACACGTAACTAACTCCCTTACCCAACTCTGGTTCTAATGACCAAAGTTGGTTTTTCGAAAACCAACGCCTTTTAAACTCCTTTTCCGATGTTTCCGGTAAAAACATCGGTGGCGACTCCACAGAACCCTTCAAAATTAGTCCTTGGGTTAGCCCGGTTATCGGACAACCCAAGGACGACCTTTCGAAAACCTCGCCCCTAGGTTAGCCCGGTTATCGGACAACCTAAAGACGTTGTAACCACCCATAAAAAACGCGAAAATTGAGAGGGTCAAAACCATCGCGTCGCTCCGACCGCCTTCCCTCTTTTTGACGGCAGCGACAACAGGTAACTGCATCATATTATCATCAATGAGATTATTATCTTTCTCAGGTGTAGTTTTCTCCACTTTGTTAATATTTTCAATGGTTTGGTCTTCCATGAACTGCACATCATGGCTTCTAACTAGTTTTTTTCTCAACAAGATCATACAACTTGTAACCAAACCCATCCTGACCATAATCAATAAAAATACATTGTTTTGTCTTTGCATCTACTTGGATCTTTCATCCTTTGGAACATAAACAAATGTCCTGCAACCAAAGACACGCAAATGGTCATAGGTAACATTTTTGCCAAACCAGATTTTGTCTGGTGCCTAAGTATTCAAAGCAACTGTAAGAGTAAAATTGATAACATGCATGGCTGCAAGCAATGCCTCTTCCCAAAAATGCTTAGGCAACTTTGCTTCAGAAAATATACATCTAACTCATTCAATCAAAGTCCTCTTCATCGTCTCTGCTATACCATTCAATTGAGGAGTTTTAAGAGGAGTCTTTTCATGTCTAATACCCTACTGTTTGCAATAAATATCAAAGGGTTCACAATACTCACCACCATTATTAGTACAAATGCATTTTAACTTCTTACCTGGTTGTCTCTCAACCAAAGCATGAAATTCTTTGAACTTTTTAAGTACTTATCCTTTCTTTGTAGTGCATAGACTCATAGCTTCCTAGAACAATCATTAATAAAAGTAACAAAGTAAAGTGCATCACTAAACGACTTTACCTTCAATGGGCTACAAACTTCAGAATACACCAATTCAAGCAACTCTGACTTTCTTGAAGGAGGATGCTCTTAAAGGACACTCTGGTTTGTTTACTAGCTATGCAATGAGAACATTTCTACAACTCTGCACTCTTCAATTCCAAAAGCATATCATTTTTAGCTAAGCAATTAAACTATTTTTCACTTATATGACCAAGTCTTCGATGTCACAAAGATGTCTCCATATACATAACATTCACACTGTCCTTAGCAACCAAAGCTTTAGTCTAATATAATTTAGAAATTTTCTCCCCTCTAGCCATGACCAAGTTACCTTTAGTGAACTTCTATTTACCAGAGTCAAACTGATTGTCATAACCACAATCATCAAGCAAATGCATAGATATCAGATTAAAGCACACATATGGAGCATGTTTGACTCCTCTAAGTAATAACTACACTCCCATGTTGGTTTGCAAGCAAACATCATAAACACCAACAAACTTTGATACACCATCATTACCCATCTTCAATACTCCAAAATCACCAGAAGTGTAAGATGTGAAGAACTCTTTCCTTGATGTAACATGCAGTGTAGCATCACTATCAATTATCCACATGTTTTCATCATATACAAGATTAACAGACTCATAGTCATGAAAAAGAATAAGACCATCACCTGTAGTAGTGATAACACAATCATCATTATGATCATTCTCTTTCTCCTTACTCTTTTTTACTTTGTTATCTTTTTTCCACTTAAAACATTATCTTTGGATGTGTCCAGGTTTATTGCAATAATAACACTCCATATTCTTGTATTTTGTCTTAGACTTGCTCCTGCTATTGTCTCTACCACCCTTCGATTCCTTTTCTGACCTCTCCCCCTATTTTCAATGACAAGCACTTCAGACTAAGTTGAAGAACCATATGTCTTCCTTCTTATCTCTTCATTAAGAGCACTACTTTTTGAGATTTGGAAAGAAACAATGTCATTAAAGGTTGAGTTTGTAATTGAAACTCGAAGTATCTCCTAAGACTTTGATAGAGTATTCAGTAGCCAAAATCCCAAAACTTCATCATCAAAATTTATACTCATTCCTTATAGTTGATCTAGGAGCCATCGAAACTCATTTAAGTGATCTAAAATAGAAGAACTCCTTGTACCTCAAATTCATCAAATAATTCAACAAATATAATTTATAATTGTCTAACTTAAAAGCATACAAGAACTCAATCTTCTCCCACAAAGTTCTAGCATGTGTCTCATTAGTAATATGATTATAAACATTGTCTTCTACATATTGTCAAATAAAATCGCACACCAGTTGGTACTTAAAGTCTCATTCTTCATCAGACGTAGAATCCGGCTTTTGTGTAGCAAATATTGGAAAATGTAATTTCTTCATAAACAACAAATCTTTCATCTTACCTTTCCATAAATGATAATTTGTATCATTTAAAGCAATCATCTTTGTATTTGCCTCCATCATTTATGCAAGTGAATATAGCTCAAAAATCAAAAGCTCATATGCCACTTATAGGGAAAAATAAAACAACAACCTAAAATACAAACTATGCAGGGGACATAATTTCCCTTTCAAGAATTTGAGAGGAGCAAACAATATTGAAAAAAATAATCACAATAGAAAACATCAATATTTTAGTATACGAAAATCCCTTCAATGAGAAGTAAAAATACACTGGTACAAGTCAGTCACTTCACTAAGATTAAAAAATACAAGAAAGTCAAATCAAAATACACAAATAAGTGTCTACAAGCACTAAATATATCAAAACAATAGTACTCTCAAATTTAAAAAATAAATAAAATAAACCTAACAACCAGTCACACAGTGTAAAACTGATATTTTTAACAACAAACATTCAATTAATAATCTCAACGGTCAAAACGAAGACACTAAGATCACGAACCTTGTCAAAATTTTAGTCAATTCAACAATAAATAAAATGTAATTATAAGTTTATTGAGTTAAGTCGATGAATAAGCAAAATTATTTTATTTTTCTCTTTTGTTCTAAAAGGATTAGAAAATTCTAAACTATTATACCTTTTCCACGATAAAATAAGTTTATATTAATTTGAATTTTTTAAACACATAGAAGTCAATCTGGATAAAAGAAAATATTAAACAATATATACTTTTACACACGTGTTATTTATTCATTAAAATTGATAATTTATTAATTTATGAACAAGATTTTATTTTAGTTTTAATTTACAGCAAAGTTAGATATCACAACTTAGGTTAAAAAATAATGTTATTTATTTAAAATTAACTTACAATCTATTTATATAAAATAAAATAATAAAATGTATATTATAAAATAATATTTTATTATTGTTTTATAAAATAGATAAAATTTATTATATAAAATAATATTTTATTATTATTTTATAAAACGTATCCCCATCTTCTGACATTGCACGTGGTACAAGACATGGACAAAATTGATTTTGACATACCTATTGTTTTCATTCCTTGGAGTTCGGATTTTTTTAGTATCTACCGATTTTATCATACAATTCTTGATCTCTTGCAGATACCATCAGACCTACCTATCTAATAGTTCTTTAGAGAATCTCTATATTTATGCTAATTTTTTTTTTACATAAATTATTATTATTATTATTATTATTATTATTATTATTTAATATCAGTATTTAACTTTTTGAGTATCTATATGGTTGATTGGAAAAATTAAATAAATCCTTTATATTCATATATTGTCTGCGTTCTTCTAACTAATTACACTCTTCTTGACAAACCATTATTTACAAATATCCTTCCTAGACGGATATTTTGTGATTGAAAGAAAAATATTAAACCTGAGATGTAATTTTACAGATGCTATTTATTCATTTACTGGGAAAGAGTTTCGAGTCAAATAAAAAAAAAAGTCAGATATTAAACAATGACCTAAATAGATCAAGTTTTGAAGGGACAATTGAAAAGGAGACAAAGGATGGTGCTATTAAACTTTTCAAACATATCACTCGAAGTTATTACATTTACTTATCAATATATTTTTTCATGTCCGCTTCACATTCTTTTACCACCCATTTATTATTTTAATTTCTTCTCATCCTCTGCACCATTATTTATTTTATTTATGTTTATTATTATGAAATACGATTTTTGTTGAATATCTTTGAACACCTATTACTTTTCTTCCCCTTTCCCCTCTGTCTGTCCCTCTCTCGGTGGTTCCATCGTCTAAAGTACCTCCTATTCAGTACTGACATCACATTAAAAATAAAAAAGAGCATACATTTGGGTCAAATTCGAAAGCATGATTCGAAGCAAGTATTTGATGCTCCTGTAAAGGATATATTGTAGCTCGTAAATGTTGAACTCTACAATAGGAATAGCTAGGTCATGGTCTGAAACGTTACCAATCAATGTACAAGCTAACCTCTAATCAGATATGGGACTACCTAGTTTGTGTCAATGACAGGGCTTTCAGAATCTTTTCTTGGAACGTTACGCTTTATTATGGTTCCGCCATTGTAACCATCCACCAGTAACTTTCCTATTTTAGATCGCCATTCTTAAGAAAAACCCTCATTTTTTCTGTCATGTACTACTCTGTCACAGGAGTTAAGCATAGTTCCCAGGCCAGTATTTGGCGTCCAACAATATTCCATTAGCACCTTGGCCTCACCTTCACTCAAATCTTCTCCAACCTATGCCAGAGACAATGAATTGAGCACAGCGAATTTCAGCTTGGGGTGGGGGAGCACTAATAAGAGCAACTTATTGCCTTTATTCTAAGAATTCACAGAGAAGGACAAAAGTGTGAAAAAATGGGCAGACAAAAAAATAGTAAATTTTTTGAAGCTTTATTATACAGTTTCTCTAAATTTTTATTTTTAACCTGTGTATGAAGTTAATTTCATTTTTTCTTTCTTATAAGAAGCTTATGGAGAAGCTCCTTCAAACAGACCCCAATTCTAGTTAATAATTCATGTTTAAAATATGCATGAAGTCACTACCACCAATTCTTTATTCTCAATAATGGAGATCCTGCTACAGGCAGTCAGTTTCATGGCAATCACCAACCGCTTGACCTGCCATTCAACAGGTAAGGATTCTACCAGCTCAAAGAAGTAGGTTGCATAACCATATTCAGGGCGCTCCAGCACTATCCTGCATTGAAATTCAACTCCAATATCATGGGATGGAGTATCAGAATAATTAGATAGATTTGAACAATATATTATATATATACAAGTATTTGTGCTCACTTAAAACATTGTCTCTTTTTATTCAAGATTTTTTGTCTGAACATCAGTTTTATTTCAAATTTAATAAACTGTATTATACACATGTCATCCATGTTGGTGTAACAAAACAATCTATTCATCTGTAATTATGAAATGAAATGAAAAGGAACAATTAAAACATCATAACTTACAAATATCTTGAGTTAGTTTGGTCCTGAACTGAAATTGAAGGGCAAACCAATAAGGGAGACAATATAATATAGTATATTCTTCACCTTGGCCATCACAGCCTCAAGCTCTGAAAAACTATGTTCACCAAATGAGAATCATCTGCTTCCTCTCCATAAAGTTTAATTTCATCAACTAATACACCTTTGTCAAGCAGTACCTGCCAAATGATATTTGCAAGAAGATTGATATAAATTCCAATGTCAGTGACTGTACACAAACTACAATATAGCACCTGCAGGAGCCCAGGAGCATCCTCCTCAAGTGCTTCTTGAACTGAATCACTGCAAAACAATTTAACAGTTGGAATAATTATTATAATTTATGATTCGGTTATGGAAGTAAAGTTGGTATCATTATTTCAGAGGATAATTTAACACAACAGAATTAGATAGTACGTGGCTGTTTTATTTCTTTTGCGCCTACACATGATGCTTGAAGGTTCGGCAGATTTTGAAAAAAATGGACTCGACAAAGAGGAAAAAGGCCGAGTCTTCCTCAAAGATGGGTAGCTTGTAGAAATATTTAAACTAGAATCAGCTCTAGCCTTGAGAAAATTTAGTCGATCAATTAAGGTCACTATGGACTTGAGAAGATTTCGTGATATTCACTATGGACTTCCCTTTCATGTTTTACATTTGGGAGTTCGATATGAAACCTACCCAATTAATCCTTTTTAACATCAATGTAGTCGCAAGGTTCATCCTTGACTTTGAGGTTGGAGAAGTTGACCTAAATGAGCCATCATTATTTATACCATTATGTTCCACATGTGAATCAAATTGCATGATTATTCCTCTGGATTTTAATTTCCGCCAATCTTCTTGAAGGCCAGATGAAATTACTGATCTTTTTTATTTAGATGAGGCATAATTAGTTAATGAAGATGATACACATGTGGCCCCAAGTGGTTGCGAAATATTACTTCCTGCGAGGATGTCATTACACTGGTATGTAGCCGCTGCTTTCCCGTTGGCAGAATTAATCTCTACGTTCCCTTTTTTCACTCCGTTACAACACTATAACATAAATAAGTTGCAATTTTAATAACGAGATCCAAGCATGATGAAATAGATTAAGTCTACTTCTGAGAAATTTACACTATTCTAAGAGTATTTGCACAAAATATTTAAACATCCTGTCGGTGGTAACACGGAAAAATTAAAATTAGAAAAGAAAATGCGTATATGATATGATCCCAAGACATAATACCTATAGAATATAGTAAAAAAGTAAGTATAAGATTAATTCTCTTGTGTCTACAATACACGTAAGTTATAATTATAATTAAGAGTGGTTCAAGTAAATATGATAAATTTATATATTATTAGGACTAATAATATCTAAAAAAATTTAAAGCTGATGCATATAAATAATATATACTAAGTTTTTTACAAATATAATTAATTTCAGGTCCCGTAAAGACTTAGTGAAAATATTTGTTAACTGTTCACTTGAGTTAACAAACGCGGTCTTAATGTTTCTGGCTATAATCTTTTCTTGAATAAAATGATAATCAACATCAATGTGTTTGGTCCTTTCATAAAAAAACAGTCTGGTCACATATAAGCGTCATTTGAGTGATATCTCCAAATTGCAATTCTTTAAATAATTGTTTAAGTCAAACAAGTTCACAAGTGACTGAGATCATAACTCTATATTCTGCTTCTGTATAACATCTTACTACAACATTTTGTTTCTTACTTTTTCAAGAAAATAAGTTACCTCCAATAGAAATACAATATCTGAAAGTAAATATTTCATCAAAATGAAATATTGCCCAGTCAGCATCTGAATAACAAACAACTTTAGTCTGGCTATTATGATCATATAACAAATTTAATGTACTTTAATATATGAATGATTGCACTACAATGTTCTGCACATGAGAAATTAGAAATTGACTCACCACACTAACTACAAAAGAAATGTCAGAATGAGTAACAGTAAAATAGTTTAATTTTCCAACTAATCTTCTATACTTCTCAGGATATGAGAGAGGTTCCCCTTGATTAGGTAGGAGTTTGGTATTGGGATCAATGGGTGTATCAATATATTTGAATTCATCAACCCAGTTTCTTCTAAAATATTCAATGCATAATTTCTCTAAGATATAATAATGTTATTATTGGATTGTGCTACCTCAATATCTAAGAAATATCTAAGTTTGTCAAGATCTTTAGTTTAAAAATTGTGACAAATATATTATTTTATTTTGGACATGTGATGATGATCCTTCCTTATCAATACAATATCATCAATATATATTATTAAATAAATATACCCAAGAGTAATAATAAAATACTGAATGTTCTCCCTTAGTGTTAATCATACCAAACTGTTAAAAAATACGATTAAATATTCTAAATCAAACCTTAAGATATTATCTTGTGTCATATAAAAGATACGTGAAAACGACAACCAATCTAACAATACTATTTAACATCTTCAGCATAGTTTGAAACTAATACAGACACAAGGAATAAGTCATCATTACTAATGTGGAATTTCTTCTATACCCACTATAATCGTTTGTATCATAGTAGCAATCCAATAATTACAATAAAAGAGCTAAGTAATAAATTGCATAGAAAGTTGCTCAAAATGTGACTACTCATTAACCAGCAGTAACCATTCTTATTGTTAATGTGGATAATTGTTCCTAAAATGAAAATAATAATTTTTATACCAAGAATTCATGTTTCACAGCCGAAGACAATAAAGTAAAAGATATGCAAATCAAGGACGGAAATATAAAAAAGTATTATTTCTCGAAGGCATTTTAATCCTTATCGCATCTAAGCGATTGACGTATACACTACAATATAGTAGTTTTTTTATTAGTATCATCATAAAAGAGTGATAAGCTAGCTATTTTTCAATAAATATATTAATCTACTAAGAAAAAAAATGATATTTCATACTTCAATAGCAATAAGATTGGTTGTTTAGTCATAAAATGTTTGAACCAAACCAAAAAAAATTATTTGTTAAAAGATTGAAATCAAAATACAAAAAAAAAAATAAATAAATAAATAAAATAAAAAATTTAAGGGGATAGAGAGATTATGCTATTAACTTTTCAAATACACACTGTCATCCAGTCAAAAAAACAAAAAGAGAACATATGTAAAATAAAGAAAACTTAATTTACATCAATACATTTAAAATCCATTTTTTCATTTATTTGTTCTAAAACGACATTAGGTATCAATACATTTAAAATCCTTTTTTCATTTATTTGTTCTAAAACGACATTAGGTTTCATCTGGTTACAAGCAATTCAAGTCCTTCTCACTGATTAAAATATAGATCAAGATTACAAGTCCCTTCCCCTGTTGTGCATGATATGCTTTTGGGTTTGCTACCCACTACAAAAAACTTGCAACAGCACTCAGTTGAGACTTTTATAGAAGGGGAAAGATTTCTATCCCCCAAATATTCCAATAATAGTAATGTAGACATGTAGTTAATGTATGAGATTGACCTACATACAAAATACAAAATTGTAGACTAGTTGTTATTGTAGATTAGTGTTTCTGTTTTTAGAGATACACCTACATACAAATAGAAGTTTTGCAAGTCAGTCGATAATATTTAGTATTCAACAGTTTCAATCTCAAGTAGGCATTCAGTTTTTCATGGTGTCTAATCCAGTCCCGCACAAGTTTGATATCCTTTCTGGTTTGTGGCTTAGCCGTGGTCAAGGCTTATCTGTCTTGTACACAGCCTTTGACGAGTTTGGTTGTTGGGTCTGTTTAGAAGGATGCCACCACCAACCAAAATCCCGTTTTCGAGCTACCACTTGTTGGACTTCTTCCAATGTCATCAGGCATTCGTAATTCTCATGCTGCCTTCAGGGTCAACTCACTCTTTGCCACTGGTAACGCTACTATCATGGTCTCAAAAGTCTCCTTAACCAGTTCTGCCCCTGTATAGTCAGATTTTCTGAATTTGATTTTGGATTTCTTGCCCTAATTCAATTTTAAGATACTGCTAGTCTGCTACTATTTGATTTTTTAATTTCTTGGACTACTTGTTGCTGTGAGGTTTTCAGATCTGGGTTTTTTGTTTGGATTCTGAGGCTGGTTCCAAAAGTTAGAAGGAATTGATTTCCTTCTCCTTTACTTTTTCAGAGTCAAACCCACCACCACCAAAAAATTAATGTTTAGGTCTGGTTTCTCCGTCAAGACCTTTATAAGCATCTCACTTAAGAGGTGGCCTTGCCACTACTAAGAAGGAAGAATGGAAACGGGTAGATTATTAACACCTTTGTTTTTTTATGGCAACCCATTGACCCTGATTTAGTGGTGCACTTCTATTTATATGAGACTTGTTATGACATTTGGAAGAAAGCTTGGTATCTGTGCCAAATCACCAATGATTATAACAGCTATATGCATCTGATCAAAGATTGACTACACTCGACACGATAGATCATGATATGTCTTCTTTCTAAACAAGGCGCAATTTGTTGATTAGCTCAAGTTTATTTATGATGATCATGAAAAAGATGCTGCCAAAGCTTGATAATTTTTATGCATGCGAATCAGGATTCAATTCTAAGTCGTGTATGGAAAAGGTATTTTAGAGAGAGGTAGGCAGAGCCAACTTCCACATTCTATTTACTTTGAAAAGAATCAATATATAGTTTTTGGTCAAGAAATACCCAAATTGAGTATGAATTTAAATATAAAAAGTTGTTAAATATCAAGCGGTAAATAAATATCTTCCATTTAAATATCCAACTGATCTTGGTATACCATTAATGAAAGTAACAAAATATTTGTCACCTCGCATAGATTTAACACAACTACGACATCTAAATGAATATCAAAGGAAGATTCTGAAAAGCTTTTGATCTTTCTTTGGAAAGTAACCGAGACAGTTAGCCAAGAAGACAGAACTCACATTCAAAAGATTGTAAATAGTGTAAATGGGAAACCATATTTTTTAATTCTTTCATACTTGGATGACCTAATCAAACAACAATGAAAAAGATTAAAATTTCAAAATGTGGTAGATTATGGAGATTAAAGATAGTACAGTCGATGGGATTCAAAGCCTATGCCTACAGACTCAAAAAGAGTGATATCACTCTGATTAACAACTTGAAGAAATTGAAATTGAAAGGACATTGAGGTTTCTAATAAATTTTCTTGAGCGAACTTCGCATATTTAGGATTATACACATAAAATAATTAATTAAAACAATTTGTTTGTCTAAAAATAAATAAATAGAAGGATCTCCTAGAATATCAAGACCCTAATACTCCTCCAAACTACTTAACTAATTAATAATACTACGTAAATTCCAACAGATATCAAAAGGTCCATTTCTGTGTTATGTTTGATATTTTTCTAATATTTTGTTTCTTTGTTTGTTGTTTGACCAAGTTGAAAACAAAGTTAAAGAGGGCTACAAGAGAAAAAGTATGTTTAGTAGCCCAACCAAAGAGAAAATATTAATAAGGAACATAAAGTACCCAGCTAGCAGCATCCTTAGCCATTCTTTCAACACAATATGATCTAGATCATAAACCATGTCTTCAGGAATCTCCTTTTTCACCTTTGACGTAGGAAAATCTAACTGAATAGATGCTTCTCTACCTTGTCAACAGAACTCGAAAAGATTTAGTGCATAATTAAATAAACAGGGCATCTCCAAAAAATGTAGGAATCTTCACTTGTTTGTTTCCATGTCTCAAAAATTGATCAACAGAAATAACCCAAATAAGTTAAATAAACAGAACACCTCCAAAAAATTTACGAAGTTTGTTTCCATGCCTCAAAAATTGATCAACAGAAATCACCCAAATCACAATAAAGGCACTGGATTGTTCTACACGAGTAGAAAACAAAAAAGCTATTGACAACATAAAATTTCCGAGACTGAATAACAAAAACAACTCAAAACTTGGTCGGCAAACCTAGCATCTCAACATATCTGATTTTCAGACTGAAGCCGGTCATTCGTAGAGACCTTAGACAATGAATTACTCACGTTCACGTCAGCGAAATCATACTATGAGCAAAAGAAACACTACCAGCGTAAAAAAAAAAAATATTGATTTACCTTACAACAGTGTCGAATTGGAATGAGGGAGCGGAAGCGAGCGATGGGTGAGTGTCATTTCGGAGCATTGGAGAATGCAGCAATTTTCGACACTGTGACAAGGGAAGGTGTTCAAGGGAGTGGAGAGCAGAGTCTATTATTTTTGCCGAAACGCATGAGTGAACCATGTTGATAACGTTCTTGAGGAATTGGGGAGAGGGTTTCACAGTGAGATTGGTGTTTGAAGTTTCGTACCCACTTTGTTCCAAAATGAGAAGCTGGTGTAGGATGGAAGATAATTAATATATGTATCTAAATTAATAAAGGGATATTTTATAAATTTTTTTTTTAATACGGTAATATGATATACACTTTCAGAATTTCTTTGTCATTGTACAAAAAGAATATATTTTTCTTCTCACATATAATAATAATAATAATAATAATTATTATTATTATTATTATTATTATTATTTTCTTTAATATATTTTTAATTCTTTCAATTTCAACCCCTCCTGTTTCAACGATAAAAGCAAAAGAAAAGTTCCGAAAAAAGTAAGGTAGATACATAATAATAATAATACTGGTATTATGCTAAAAAATTTCCAAACTTTCTTTCTTTCTTTTTTATTATCCTTTTATCATAATTCTTTTTTTTTTTACGTTGGAAAGGAAAAAAAATAGGATATTCCAATATTTGATTAGTGTGAAGTTATAATTAATTAGTTAGAGAATAATTATATTTAAATTAATTATTGGACAATTAGATCACTCTTTTTAAACCACTCTAAAAAAACCTGCTCATATTTTAGTTTTTAAAATTTATTCTAAAATTATTTCCTCATTTTCTTCACATTTTTGTTTGTTCCTAGGACTTCAACTTTTAATTTTGAAATTATTTTGGGAAATAATTTAGTTTGTGTGTTTAAATATTATTTGTTCTTTAAAATAATTTAGTATGTGTTTCCACTTCACGTCAATATTACAATTTCATATTAGTAAAATGCGATTTTGATTTTCAATCTTGCTCTCTTATTTTAAAATGGAAATATCCAGTCCTTTTTTTTAATAATAATTAGTTTTGTTCAATCGTTTAGATTAAGACAATAGAAGTGAAGATATTAATGTTAACTTTTATCATATTTTGATATCCACTTTTTTTTTCGAATGTTTTGCAATGGTATGATAAGTTAAGTGGAGAAAGTTAAAATTAATTAATTAAATTAATTTTATTATGTGATTCATATGAAATATAATAATGTGCTCAAATGTGATTTAATAAAATAAAAAGACATATCCGCGGATCTTCTTGGGAAGTTGAGAGGGTCGTGACCTCCCAAAAGTTTTATAACTCTCATATAATTTATGATTTTAGCTCCAAAACTTAATGAACATTTAATATATTTATATGTATATTTACAATTTTATCCTCTCAACCACTCCTCAGTTTTGTAACTCTCATATAATTTATGATTTTGTTCCTCTCAAACTTAATGATTATTTAATATATAAGTATATATCTACAATTTTATTCATTTCACACTTTCATCTTCTTTCTTCCTTTTATATTTATTTATTATTTATTAATAATATATTATTTGACCCCAAGATCAATGGTCAAGATCCACTACTTGCATATCGGTTATTATGGAAAGTCATATTAAAATAAAGATAAAATAAAATAAAAATTTATAGCCAACTTAATGGACTTTGGTTAATAAAAAGATATTAGGGTTTAGTCTAGTCATAAGGTTCTTTTCATAGTAAATCATTAGAAAAGTGTGACAGGAGAAGGAAAGGCAAAAAAGATATATGAAGGAAAAGAGATTGAAGAACAAAGGCATTGAAGAACGTATTCTTATTGGATATCTCTCATTGATTAATGTTAATTCCCTTATTATGATTTATGTTATTGTATGAGAATCATGAATCTAAAGATTCTGTAGAGTAGTTTTCTATAATGAATTAGGAACATAGAAAAAACTATAAAATAATTTACACAAAGCTCAAGTAAATTTGTATACATATAATGGAGTAGTCCTATGGCAAGTTTTTCCCACCATGTTACAAGGATCAGCCTTACGATGGTATAACTCTACCATATAACTTAATTGATTCATACTATACATTAGTAAAGAGATTTTGAGTCAGGTACGTAACCAACAATATATACGAAGCCACATATGTGACTTTAGAAAGTGTGAAATAGGATTAGTGTGAATCCCTTCGTAGTTTCATGGAGCGATTGCAAAAGTATCAAATTCTATACCGAATTTTACATGGTTATTACCTTAAAATGTAATACATGTCGCTCTATCACCGATACTTTTGATTGATAGTTATTTTGTTTAGGTTTAGAGTTTAGACTTGTAAAACTTATATACATTGTATCTTACTTTAAGTCACACGAATATAAAAGTTGTACCTTGAGCTCACATACGCCTAAAAATTATATCTCACTCGAGGTCACACGATTATAAAATTTATACCTTACGGTAGCATGAGTATAAAAGTTGTACATTACTCAGGATCACACGAGTATAAAAGTTGTACCTTACTTAGGGTCACACAAGTATACAAAATTGTATCTTACTCGAGTTACATGAGTTATAAAAGTTATACCTTACTCGGGGTAAAACGAGTTATAAAAGTTAGACCTTATTTGATGTCACACGAGTTATACATATCTTACTCAGGGTCACATAAGTTATAAAAGTTATACATTACTCGAAATCACACGTACCTTACTCGGGATCACACACCTTACTCAGAGTCACACGAGTTATATATACCTTACTTAGGTATATGAGTTATTAAAATATGCATTTACTTTACTCAGGGTCGCACAAGTTATACATACCTCATTCGGGATCACACGAATTATACATATCTTACACTTGTATACACACACACACACACACACACACACACATATATATATATATATATATATATATATATATATATATATATATATATATATATATATATATATACGAGTTATCAAAACTTACATTTATCTTATTTAAGGTCACACGAGTTATACATATCTTATTCGGGTGTATAAGTTATCAAAATTTGTATCTTAAAAACTCTACTCAGAGTCATGAGTCTAACGTTTGCATAATTTACTAACATTTGTACAATCTATGAATAAGACGAATTGTAGCTTCATAATAATAGTATATGTACATGATAGATCAACAAAGTTTTATTTTGGTTCAAGGGAGAGGGGAGGTTCCTCTTAAAGTATCACTTGAAAATGTTTGTAGTGGCAGATCTTCTTGGGAATTGAGGGGGGAGTCATGTCCTCTCTCTCCCCAAGTTTTATAACTTTCATATGTATTTATGATTTTAGCCCAAACTTAATGATCATTAAATATATTTTACTTGTATATTTATAATTTAATCTTCTCACCCTTCATCTTCTTTTATCATTTTATATTCATTTATTATTTATTAATAATATATTATTTTGCCCTCTTAAAATCAATGATCATGATTTGTCACTAATAGTTTGATATTACATGATTATCCTCTTAAGCTCAGGGACTGATGGAAGCTCTACCAAGCTCCTCTCTCCTCTTTCTAAAGTTTTCAACACATTATTTTTACATGACAAATATATAGGCTTGATTGAGTAAATCTTACAAATATATCTCAGTCTAACCAAATAATGATTTCTAGGATAAAGACATTCAAATTAAAAAATACTTGTCTATATAATGAAATAATCAATTTAACCTTAAACTCGTTTAGCCTCTATTCCTAAATGAACTCGTCCTCCGAGCTTGGTAACTTGTGTATCTACCGACCCAAATCCATTAAAATTACTATATTTATTTATTTATCTAGTTACACATTATCTTATTAATTATCTTTTATTTGTTATTATTTTATATTTTATATAATATCTTATATTAATTATTATCTTTTGGATTATCAATTATTCTCTTCTGGGTCATCAATTATTCTCTTCTCGGGTCTCACATAAGAAGATGCAGTCAAGAAGTAAATTTTATCTTATCATTCATTCTCAAATACACTATTCTTATCTAAAAATTGACTTAGCAACTTTCACTTTTTTCAAAAGAAACTACTCTATACAATTTTAAAATTACAACTCAGAATATAATCTACCTATCTTCATCTGATAAGAACAAATATGATTATTTAATTTAATTATATTATTTTCATATCAAAGTAGCATTTTTTATTTCATAAAATAAAATCAATAAAAATTTATTTTATAAAATAAATTTTAAGAAATTACTATTTTACAATAAATATGTATAATTTAAAATAAAATAAAATATATTAAAACTAATTACTAGAAAATCCAACTAAGAAAAAAATTAGAAATTTTAGTGAATATATATATTAATTAGATCGAGTTTAGATTCAAAAGAGAATTACGAGAATAAATTTCACATAAGCCGTAAAAAAGTTTCTCCAACTAAAATAAAAAGTTTTTTTTTTTCAAGTTTTGTCTCAAAACAAGTTATTGTTTTCAAGAGATTTTATGAAAAATTGGTCCAATTGCTCCTTTTTATGGAGAAGATAACGTAAAAGAAATGTAAAGAGGAAATGTTTAGCTCAGAGTTGGCAAGGTAATGGAGAGGATCAACCGGAATGGAAGAAATGAGTTTAAATTCTACTGGAGTATAGAAAGTCATATGAAGAAACCATTACAATTTTTAATTTAATTTACATACATAATTTAAACAAATTATACATTAGTTTATGAACAATATTTTGATTTAAATAATTTATAAAAATGGCATAAATAGTAATAAACTCAAAAAACATAATTTTGAAGTATAATTTTATTTATAATAACTATATATTATATGAACGCAATTTTTCTCAGTTATCATATCATAATTTCATCATTCCTCACTATTATAGAGATGTTCATAAGTATTATTTTACATTCCTCTTAATACATTATTTTATTATATAATTGTTAATATACTAATTTAAGAACTCCAACTTTTATTTGTAGTTTAACTTTTCAATGTTGAACTAAGTTTTTAGTAGTTGATTTTAACATAGTTTATGTTCCAAATATAAAATATTTATAAGATAGCAGAGAAAGTGTTAGCAGTTTAGTATGTTATTTGAAGTTTTAACTTCATACGACCATCTCACACAAACTAGTATTGTTAATTAGTATCATAATTAATCAGCAAATATCAGGTAATTAAACATTTCTTGAATTGGTGCTTCATTAAACAGGAGATGGACAACGAAGATAAAATGTTTTTTCAACACTCGAACAGTAACCCTTAGGAATAAATAAGGGCTAGGATTTGAGAAGTAGAATGAACTATAATTCACAGTATAATCCAGACTAGACTGAGAGAGGACACACGTTTTAAAACCCAGTTCTTTTATTTACAAGTATATTAATATTGCCCGCAAAGAAGACAATAATGTTCAATTCTTACCATGGAATTAGAGTTTTAAGCCAAAGATAAACTTTCCACTATTTTTTTAAGACCTCCTATATTTAAAATCACATGTCATGAAAAAGCTCAAAAGTCCGATAACTGTTATAACATATAAAAGCACCTACAAGAAGAATTTGATGCAGTTCATCATACTCCAATAAGTTAAATATAAATGCGAATAAATTTGAGGTCGCACATCACAAACAGTGAGAGCCAATGAAATTGAGGAGCAGATAGACAGCTCCAGTCCTCAACAATTTTGAAAATCATACAGAAGAGCTGAGCTGGGGCCTACGACTAAGCAAATGAAGTGAAGCACAAAACCAATGAAGCAGTACCAGAAGAAATCTCAACAGAGAAGAAAAACATATACTGTAGTGCAGAAAGATCTGGAACTCTCTTTAACTAGTAGGAACAACCTTAAAAAGATCACTACCTGCAATAAAACTACAAGTATTCTGCAAATATAAACTCAACACAAAGTAAACTAATCCAATCCAAGAGTAGAGAGTAGAAACTCAGGGCCTTGGCCAACAAAACAGACTCTTACTTAAGTCTAAACAGACACTAGCTGAACAAAATCTCACTATTCTCTTAACAATCACAGTTACCAACTTTCAGAATTCAACTTCTGCTTCTGCGACGTTCCCTAAGGCCATTTCTGCATATTATTTAGATGCATCACATCAGTAAAGAACAAACAACAATGAATATAGATAGTGGAAATTTAAATATAGCAAATTAGATTGTAAAGCATCAATAGGATGAGTGTATTTTAATCGGACACTTGACAAGGTGGGGGATGGGATCCAAACCATGATTTTGCCACTTAGAAGTTAAAAACGCTATTCTTTCCTTTAGACTCAACATTTGAGAAAATTGATTTTTTCTCTAAACAAATTAACTAACCAAAGGATTTTACATCTTAAACAGAACAAAATGCATATTAAAAAATTAGGTCTAACCAGGGTGATAAAATAATTTAATTAGGAAAAATACAACTAAATTCCAGAAGAAACCTACCCATTAGCATATGGAACCTCCTCACGTCCACGATATGGAGGTGACCTGCTGTAGCTGCGTCCACGAGGTGATAAGCTGCGGCGCCTAGGAGACCGCCCACGAGGACTGTAACTCCTAGTCATAGCAAAGAACAGTGAGAAACAACATAAAGATATATAAAGAAGCAATTAATACCATAACAAACACACTCAGCCCTTTAACTAGGTATGATATATGAATAATTTTTGCCATAAAATTGAAACCAATTACATTTCCAAATGTTAATTACAATAATTTCAAATATAGAAAGTTAAATTTCAAACAATAAATCATAGCCATAACATTGTTATGAAACCAGGTGGATCAATAAACAATTTTTAGTTAATGATAATTGAAGACAAATCAATTACAAAATTAATGTTCAGGAATATATATATATATATATATATATATATATATATATATAGAGAGAGAGAGAGAGAGAGAGATATATAGAGAGAGAGAGAAGTGCCAATACAACTGCAAACAGGATCAAAAGAAAATACAGGAAAGAAATTTCACCTTCGTCCATAGCTAGGACTCCTTCGAAATCGGGGTGGGCTACGACTACGGCGTCTTCCTGACCCACCACGCAAGCGACACTCACGAGCAAAATGGCCTGGTTCACCACACTCATAACACTTCAAATCAGAACCACCAGAGCGGCCGCCACGGCCACCACCTCCACCTCTAGAGTTGTGGGAAAGCTCCACTCTCCAACCATTCTTCCCTGCTCCATTGAATAGAAATGAAGAGGCCCAATAAATAATGTGATAAAAATAATGGTAACCCATGTAGCTAGCTACATTTAGATAGAATGGAAATTGAAACCCTATTTGATACTTTAAAATTTAAATCCTTAGGGGAGAATCAGCTTCCACCAAATACATCACATATCAATAGCTTTAACAGTATCAAAACAAGAATATATAGGCAGCATTGCCACTAAAGCCCTGTAAAGACATTAAACCTCTAGGCTGACCATAGTAAGGATTAAAAAAACAGAGCAGTGAAATGAAAAATAAAGAAAAGCCTAAATTAGCATACGATAATAAATTTTGATTTGAAGTACATCACTTGTGCACAAAAAAATACAGTTGGTATTCACTTAAAATAGACTTCAATAACAATAACCAAACCTTTATTACATCAGGTGTGGTTTGTTATCCAGATCAAAAGACAACACTGATCAACAACCAAAGACAAATCCAAGTAAGCTAAGGTCCTCTTGATGGTTTCAATTTCAGGTGGAAGGAAAACAATTAATGCATGAACATTAAAACATGGTATTATCCATGGGAATACAGTATTATCATAAAAGGCAGAACGAGGGAATAGTTGTTCATTCAGTAAAGACAATGATTGTGTTACCATAATATTTTCAGAAGTTCATTGGTCGATAACAACTTATTGGAGTACACAAACTGCCCACAGGGAACATATACAGCACAGAGGCAGCACTCACATGGTCCCCATAGGTTAAGTGTAGAAGCACACATCTCATAAAACAAACCCATTATGCAACAGAAGTGTAGCTGGCGATAGCAGTGCAAATCCCCTGTGTTCACATTCTTAATTCTCTTACATGCAGTAGTAGTAGTAGTAGTAGTCAAACTGTACAAATCAGCAGACTTTGACGAAGACACAACGAAGAAAAAACCATTACTGCAGGCCAAGGCAGAAGTAGAAGAAAGAGAGAGCAGTATCTGCTTGCCCCATAGGCCAAAAAGAAGAGTTAACTAGCTAGTTGAGGTAAACCCTTCAACATATCAACCGGAAAAAAATGGGGGAAAAACAATAACACATTAGCAGATAAGAAGAGTGTGGTAAATAAACGTATATATGCACATTTCAATCTTAATTTTAATTCTATAACATCCAACAATCATAACCCTTCATACCATCCAATTCACGAATAGCATCCTGAGCATCTCTCCTATCATCGAAGTCAATAAAAGCATAACCAGGTGGCCTTCGTGCAACCCAAACACTGCATACAAAAAATATCATAATTTTCATTAAGCACAAAAAAAAAATTATTTATTCAAAATAAAATCCTAAATAACAAAACAAAATAAAAAGGAAAAAATTGCCGAGGTACTTTTAAGTCACTGTATTTTCAAATCAATGAAAATAGTCCTCCAACTTTTAAAATCATAGTATGTTTGACTTAAATTATAGAGACCAAACATTAAAGCATAACGAAAACTGAGAAATTGAAGCAACCAACACATAATAGAGAATCAAATTAGAGCCTCTAGGGGTTACCTCCGAATAACTCCGAAAACACGGAATTCGTCCTCGAGATCCCTCTCGGTCACTCGTGAATCCAAGTTACCAACATACACGCGAGACATCTTTTCAAAAGAACCTGAAGACAAACGCAAATCAAACCAAATCAAATATAACCGGCCAATTTGCCCTGAAAGAACGATAATCGGTGATAGCTGTTTAGGGTTCGTTGAAATTTTCGAGAAGATGGGGGAAATTTAAAATGAGGAAGCTTTAGGGTTTGGGGAGGAGAAAGAACGACTTAACATTGAAGAGGGAAAAATGGAGATTTGGAAGAGATCTGTACCTGAGACGATGCAGAGAAGAGGAAAACGAAAACCCTAGCGGCCTCAATGAGAAGGAGAGCGTTTACTTTTTATACGCCTTTTATTTTTTTCCTTTTCGCAAATGTGAGAAACTGATATTATTCGCTCTCCAATTAATGCTCTTAAAAAAAACGCTCCTCGTTAACGTTTCTACTCGAACTTCTGTTTTTAACTATATTTTTTCCACTGTAAATAAAAAAAAAAAAAAGGTAATTTATTTTAAAAAATATCGATAAGTTTTCAAATTTATTATTTAAAAAACGCTCCTACTTTTTTTTTTTAATAATTTTGATATCCAATATGGAATAAATAAATAAATTTGGACGGACAATAATTTTATTATTTTGAATTAACATGTTTTGACCTGTTAAGGTTGATTGTCGTGTCAACATATTCATTAAAAGTTTAATTATATGTTTAGATTCTAAAATTTAAAATATTTTGGTTTTAGTACTTTAAATTAAATAAATATTTTAATCTCTTAAAATAAAAAATATATAATTTTAGTCTCCAAATATATATATATATATATATATATATATATATATATATATATATAGCAACACATTATTCATTTTATAATTGTTAAATTATCCACTTTTTTATTATGTTAATTAGGACTATAATTAGGTTACAGTCAACCTACTAATGAACTACTTAACTTAATTGAATTAGGGTTTAAGATTTGTACCATAACATATTGATGAATATCAAACTAATAAATTCGATTTAACTATATAATAAATATATTATAAGAGTAATATTTATTTAGTAATTTTATTATAAAATAAAGTATATTTTATTTTGTAAAATTATCTATGAATTATAAATACTATTGTTATCTTATTATTTTGTTATAAAAAAGTATATGTTATTCCATAAATATTATTTATGTATAAATTATAAATATTTCGTTATTTTATTATTATGAAACATGAGAAATATTTATTTTGATAATTTCTTCTTATTATTATTTTTAATTATTAACTCCATTAGTCACTCTAACTTAATTATAATTAAATTTGGTTGACTTAAGTTGGATTACTAAAAAATAAATTTAATATATATGTAAAAGTCCAAAATTATATTAAATTATAATAATGATTACTTATATTAAATTCAACATATTCTAATCATTGTTATTATTTTGTATCAACATATCTTTAAATAACATTTTTTTCTATTTATTTGTTATTATTGTTATCATATTAATTAGAGATTTATTGTAGTAATTTTTTTTAATATAAAGTATTTACATATAGTTATTTTTTTAATGTAATATTGCGTATAATTATTGATATTGAAATTCAGTTTTGAAATAAAAACTATAAATTCATGTTAATAAATTTCATGTTAATAAATTCAAATATATTTTTTTAAGCCCTTCAAATGATTGAATGAAATAATTTTGATAATACATTTTTCAACACAAATATTCTATTATACTAGTTTATGTGCATTTACTGAATGCCATTTTTAAAAATAAATTATTTTCTCCAATAAACATATTATATTATGAAAAGATAATAGTAATGTTTTTTTCAAAAGAAAATAATGTAGAAAAAATATTTGTGGTACTCTGAAAGAAAGTGATCACCATATCACAAACTAATTGTAAGAATGTGTGAAACCCCACCCTTATAAGAAGTAAAAATATAAAATCCTATTTGAGAAGTTTCAAACTCCATTTTCAATCTTATTTATACACACCATGTATTTGATGAATTGTTAATATGTAACGATTGATAATACTTTTGAAGTGAGCTATGACGATTGAAATCACATTGATTAAAAACAATTAAGTTAAAAAAAATGCTCTTGTTTTTTTTTTTCATTTACTTCCAACATTTTTCTTAATTAATTAATCTACATGAGCAATATCATACTGAAGTTTTAAACAAACACTTATTCAATTCTCAAACATGTCTAACTTTAATAATATTAATATTACTTAGAGTATAAGAATAAGAATGTTAAGGTTATATACATATTTATAAGATTATGATAATTTAATTTTGTATTAAATTTTTGTAATCTTTCAAAAATGAATAAAGACATATTCAGTAAAAAGAAACATATTCACATTTCTATACATATAAACTATATAGGAAAAAAAATTCTTAGATTACTAATAAAAAAAGTATAAATCCATTTTCTTTAGTAAAAAGACTATTCCAATAGTAATAAAAAAAATAAAGAAACATCTTTTACTAATTATTTATTTATTTTAAAAAAAGTAAAATAAGAATTTATAGTAGCACATCTTTTTTAATGGATTATTATTGATTTTACTTCATTAAATTTCTTTTTTAATAAAATTTAAAAACATATTCTCTCTCCTATATTTCTTTATTCATTTATTTTAATTTTTTTTATTTATGAAGCAATTATCAAACAAATTTAAACAATTATCATATTACATAATATTATTTATTTAAAATTATTTTAAACAACTAATACTTTATTTAAATATCGTAATAAATAACTAAAAATTATTTTAAATAATTAATGAAAGCAACGAGGGGAGATTGATGACAATGTGAAACATGTCCCTATATTTCCAAGAGATGATTTTGATGATGATTCAAGTAAACAAAATTCAAGATTCAAGCAAGTCCAAGATGATTCCTGAAGACTAGATATAATCTTAGAATACTTGGATATGGATGTACAAGTTGATGAAGTGGTATTATGCATAAGCTTCCAAAGAACAAGTGTGATAAAATTTCGTAACATGACATTTTTCACTGTCATAATCAATTATGATGCATCAGAAATGGAAAAACGATTTTCTCTCTGTCATAATTGATTATACTGGTAACATAATTGATTATGGTAGTTCATATTTGAAAAATATATTTGTTTTGATGAATAAATTTGTTGAATACATCCTGATTTTTCTCTACGAAAGTATTAATGACCAACAACTATTTTCTGATATTATTTTTCTATTTAAATGATTTTTGATGAAAAATAAAAAATACACAATTACAGAATTCGAAAATACAATTTTACATTCATTCAGTTTTAAGAAAAGAATTTTAAGCAAGGTAACAGAAATATTTTACACCTTCTGAGAAAACCTCTTCTCTACTGTCTTCTGCACCTTCATTGTTAATCACATTTGTTCTTGGACGTTGACATTCTATAGACTTCTACAATTTGTTGTCTCCATTACCCAGGTGTGACTGTTCTTATTTTATTGTCTTCATCCTTTGTGGGTTTAGGTGGTTGTTGTTATTTTATTGCCTTAATCCCTTTTTCAGGGCTTAGGAAGTTGATGTTAAATTCCTTGTTTATAGTTTAAGTGGTTGTTGTTATTCTTTTATATTTCTTTGGGTTTCCTGTGTGGAAATTATTCATCCATTTGATTTATTTAGGAAGGTGTTCATCCTTAGTGGGATTTTAAGAAGGTGTTTTCATCCCTTTGATTTGTTCGGGGAGGTGTTCATCCCTAATGTGATTCTAAGGAGGTGTTTATCCTTTGTGTATTGGTGGCAAATGAAGTGTTTTTCATCCCACTACAAGAAAAAACACATTTAGCCACCGAAATTAGCGACCGAATTTTTTCGGTCGCAATTAGCGACCGATTTAATTTTAGTCGCATTTAGAGACCGATTTAGCGACCACTTTAATTCGGTCGCAATTAGCGACCACTTTTTGTGCGTCACAAATTTTCAGTCGCTAAATCGGTGGCTATTTCATACATAAATAAAAAAATCATTTAGCGACTGATTTAGCGACGAAATTACACATTGAAATAGCAACCGAATTAAAATCGGTCGCTAATGAGAAAATAATATATAATCTGATTTTTGCAATATCGCTCAAGCGAAAATGACGTCGCTCGAGCGACACCACCTGCTAATTCGAAAATTAAGTTTAAAGATCTGTTCTTGAATCACAAAGCAATCAATCAAAATAAGCGCAGCAACTGAATTTAAATGAGAGAAAGGTTAAGGAAGATATCACCGGTATTTTATACTGGATCACCCAATACCAGTTCTTGATAACCTCCACAACCAACTTCCAGCTGCAGAGAAACTTGTGCAACACAATACAAAAGAATGAAAAAGAATTTACAAAGAAGAAACTAAAAAGCTCAAACCAATTTATCCAAATCTGCTGAGAGTTTCTTCTTCACAAGAATGCAAGTTGCCTCAAGAAAGATTTTCAAAAGAACTTCTAAAAACTGTTGCGAATCTTTCTTGAAAAAGGATGCTACAGGTTACTTGAATGATTGCTTAGGATGTGTGAAAGCTGATGTTCAAATGTATGTTTAAAAAGTTCAAGCAAAACTGTTTTTAAAGAGAAATTTCAAAAGCTGTCGCATTAATTAATCTGTTGAAAGTTTGTTTTAATCTGTTGAAATAGCCGTTTCAATCTGTTAAAAGTCCTTTCAATCCATTTATGCGTTCTTGATTCTTTAACAGAATTGTTTTAGCTGATACTGCAACGGTTATATCAATTAAAACACTTTACAAAACTTTTCTAAGTTTGATTCAATCGATTGTTTCGTGTTTTAATCGATTGATATACTGCAAAACTTTCTTATAAAACTTTTCAAGTTATTTTAACTGATAAAAAGAAGTTTTAATCGATTAAAACTCTGTACAAAATTTTTCCAAGTTGTTTTAATCGGTTGAAACACGTTTTAATCGATTTAAACTCTGTATAAAAATTTTTAAAGTTATTTTAATCGATTGTAATGCGTTTTAATCGATTGAAACTCTGCACAAAATTTTTCCAAGTTGTTTTAA